GTCTGAAAACTTTGAGGCACCATGCAATTGTAGCACTTGGGTAGAATCATTAGTTTTTCCCTTTGTTTACCTCATATTAGCTGTGTTTGTCTCCAAAGCAGTGAACAGCGAGCACCATTAAAGATAGCCACTGTGTTCGATCTGTACATGTGCATGAGCTTTGGTAGATTGTGGCAAACACTCCTGTAAATATTGTAATCTCAGTCATTACCTCCAAACAGCCAGACAAAGGTTGGAAGTGGGGGATCAGGTGTTGAAACTTGCAGGAAAATGCCTAACCAGGATGATGACTTAGATTCATCAGAAGATTTCCACCTTCAAAACATGTCATCAGAATATTTACTGAACAAGGTACATCAGCTTCTGCTAATCTATAATCAAGAGACTGAAGCAGAACCTGGCTGAAAGACTTTGGCAACAGATACAGCCTTTTCTGAAATCAAACTGATATTAGCATTTCAGCAATGTAGTTACAGCATACAATCCAGGATAAAGTCCAGAATAACATAACATGACCTTTCTACATTATGTTCATGCGAAGCACAACAAAAGGTCTCTGTGCAACTTACAGAAGTTAAATAGGGATGGGCTATTAAGGCAGGCCACGCCAGTGGCACCCACATCCCATGAACAAATATGCAAAAAAAGCCTCTTGAAAGTTAATGCAACTGCTTAAAATCAGAACAGCAATAACAGTAATATTCACTGGATAAAGTCTGCCTATTATTGATCAACATAAATCGTAAATATGAAAATCTGCTTTTAAAGTTGTGCTTTCAAAAACTGCTCCTTTCTCTACCTCACTCGTGATTAACCCATTTAGAAGCAATTCCATAAGTAGGTACGAAATTCATGAATCTTTGTAAGAAATTCAATGCCTAGGAAGATTTCAATTTGGATTAACTATACCACTAAAATGGCACACAGCCCACCACAAATTCTGGATGTTGAAATAGAACTTTAAGATGCTTGAGCAAGAAAAATATTTCATGATCTGCTCTTTAGCTATCTTTCACAAACATTAAAACATAGCAATAGTAATTAACTTTAGACAATTTACACACTTCCGTTTGAGTGCAAAACAGCAGAATGCAAGCAACATTCAAGTAATACATCTTTATGAAAAAGGAACCTAAGATATGCAGCTTCAGCCACACAATGTTTCTCTCCCCCAAAACCCCAAGCGAAAAATATAGCTCAAGACAGGTAGTCATAGTTGCAGACTGTAAACTTCAAACTAGAACCTAATACTTAACTAGGTAAATATTAGCATGTCATCATTAAGAAAACAGATTAGCTAACAAGGTAAACGATCCTTTTCGCTGATCTTCAGCAATTAAGGAAACCTCAAGGCTGCCATGCCAATAATTTTAGCCGTTCATTCATCCATTTGACTTCCAAGTTTATTAGATACTTAGTGCGAATTGGATAAGGCTGGGAGAAATTAGGTTGAAGTTTCAACGTGTGCTGAAGAATCGAAAATCCAGTTTGGGAAAAAGTGTGCAGCTAAAGTGATAGCTACCACTGATCATGGTATTCAATTCAACCTTTTGAGATTTCATAAAAATCCATCCAAAATAGTGGCCGACTGATGCAGTGTATAAAATGTGAACTACTGCTCTTGGTGCACATGGCCCTCTTGTTTTAAAATATGTGGGTCTATCTTAAAAGATAAATAAGAGATTTTGCTAAAACTATACAAGAGGGAAGAGACTGGGGTTGATTAAAAAAAGCCACGATTGATCACGGGGCACAGACCTGATGGGCCAAACGACCTAATTCTGTTCCAGTCTTATATAAGGCACTACTCAGACCACAGCTGGAATATTGTGAATTTTGTTAATCTCAGGGAAGATATGCTTGCATTAGAGGTAGTCCAGAAAAGATTCACTAGGCTGATAACAGGTATGGAGCGACTGTCTTATGAGGAGAGGTTGGGTAGATTGGACTGCACTTACTGGAATATAGAAGAATGAGTCGCGATCTTATTGAAACATACAAATGTGCTTTAGTCCATTCTTGGTTGTCAGTAAAATGTTCCCTACGCCTGCTGACAACATTGATACGTGGGTAAAGAAAATCACTCGAAGAAAACAGAATTTAATATGTAACATAATCCTGGTCAGATACTTTTAGACAATCACCTCAAATTGTTCCAACTGATTCACTGCTATTATGTGATCTTTTGTCTTAAAGCTAAGAAAAATCATTACAACTGAAAGAAATTTACAAAATTATGGGGTTTGGATAGTCAATTACATGGGGAAATAGGTTTAAAGTAAAAGGTGGAAAGTTTACACGAAATATGAGAAACAAGCGCTTTTTTTATTTACACGGAAGGTGGTAAGTGCCTGGAATTCACTGGCAGAGGTGGCGGTAGAAGCAGATTAAAAAAAAGCAATGTCTAAGAGGCATCTTGACAGATACATGAACAGCAGGGAAGAGAGACACACTGACCACATAGCGGCAAAAGATTTTTAGTATATAAAGGCATCATGTGCCAGTGCAGACTTGGTGAGCTGAAGGGTCGGATCCTGTGCTGTACTGTTCTTTGAACACTGTACGTTCGACATGGCTTCACCTTGAGCAGCAAGCTTATGATCTCTGACCAGCTATATGGTTGCTCGAGCCACAAGTTCTGGAAATTAAAGAGGAGGCAGTGCTGCAGTGAATTAACTCAACCAGTAATGCAGAGGCTCAGGCAAGTGATCTGGGCACATGGGTTCAAATCCCACTGTTAAATTTGTTAATAGAATAAATGTACAGTTAAACCTAATCCAAGGGTGACTATTAAAACCAATCAGTGCACACACTCATTTGGTTAAAATATTTCCAAGGAAATCTATTGTCTTTACTTGATTGAGCCTACATGCGATTCCAGACCAACAGTAATGCATCTGACTGTTTCATGTCTTCTGAAAATGGGCCAGAAAGGTATTTAATTGTATCAAATCACTGAAACGTTTCCTAAAAAAAGGACCGGCCAGCATCAGCATTAGAACCAGAAACAAAAACAGCAAACCTCTTCCTATCAACGCTGCAAAGCTGTCTTTAAGATCGGTGGGGGCTTGTGCCACCAATAAGTCAAGCAACAACCTGACGCTAGCAGCAGATACATGGGAAAATCATCACCTGCAAGTTCCCCTCCAGCCATACACCATCCAGACTTGGAACAACACTGCCATTCCTTCACTGGCTCTTGGTCATAATCCTGAAACTTCCTTCCTACACACCAAGGACTGCAGTGGTTCATCCCCAATTGCCTCTCTCAAGGGCAATTACAGATGGGCAATAAATGCTAGCTTAATCAATGATATCCACATTCCATGAACAAATATATTTTTAAATTTTAAAGACTGTTACTGGCTGTGATGCCACTTTTTTCTTGATCAAGTCACCAGAGCAACCTATCACTGCACAGCGGCAAAGATATGCATTTTGCAGAAAATGGGTAGGCGTTAGAGTGGTCAGAGTGTAGGTAATATCAGGTAATCTCTGATGGGTAGGAAACGGTCTGGTTCAGCCTGTTTGTTGCTGAATGTTCCATATATGTACGCTGACAACACCTTGAATGTCTCATCACCTCAATGCGGCTATAGCTCCATAGTCAGACAACCCTTTCTGATACAAAAAGTCATTTAAAACTGTGGATCAAGAGACCGATCAGGAAGAACAAATGCATTATTTAAAACCCCAACATAAACTCTGGTCTCTCATCAATGGCTGCATTCTGCTTTGTGACTATGCACCTGGGTTGATATGTCTTCCATCAGTTATGCTCATCACTGGAGACATTATTCTAATACACTTCTTGCTGTCTTCACATCTTCTGTGAACAAAGATTTCTCCCAAGCATTGCTGCCTGTAGCTAGATTTCCACAGAGTCCCGCGACTCATCCTAATCAGGTTACACTGTCGGTTTTCTACTTCGCATCATACTGAATGTGCAGCCTGTATACAGAATCAGAATCCAACCAGTGTCTGCATCAACATGGAGATTAGGAAATTCACTCAAACACTGCACATTTTAAAACCTACACGGAAATCCAATGAAGCATTTAGAATAGGGTAGGCATTAACAACACCATTAAACCAATTTAGGATGAAAATATCAAATAAAAGCAAAATACTGAAGATGCTGGAAATCTGAAACAATCAATTCTGGAGAAACTTAGTGGGTCCAGAGAGTATTGTGGACAAAGAAAAAAAAAGCGTTAGCTTTGAGTCCGACATGAGTTTTCCTCTGAAGAAATATCAGACACGAAATACCAACTCTATTTCGCACTCCACAGATGCTGCTAGACTGTATGGTGAAGTTGTGCAGTAAAAAGTAAATTTGTTCCTGAAAAAGAAAATTCAAGTTTCATCCAGGTCATGTTAGAAAAGTAAAATAAAAATGTACAAAAAACAAATTCTGGAAACCTGAAATCAAAAAGAAAACAAACTACCCGGGTAACTCGGGATAAAGAGACAGAAAAGCTTTAAATATTTCTGCTATCTGCTCTTCATTCACATATAAAGCCTGCTTGTAATTTAATCTGCTGTTTCTGGTCTCACCCAAGTAATGTACAATTCAAAATGCACTTCAAGCCAGGCTACGGGAACAGCATTTTCCAATGTAAAGCCTTTTAACGTCAAATACATTTGGATTGAATCAATTTTTCATACACAGATCCATAGCACAAAATCTCCTAAATCTAACTTGACTAGCAAATCAGGAACGTTGCTCTGAGACACTTTGATCATAGTTGGTATAGGAAAATTAACGTTAACCGATCTCAACAGGAGACAAGGCATAAATCACTCAGAGCATGAAGGCAGCAAAAATAAAGTTCCTCTTTTATTGCATTATCACCTTTCATTTCCAAAGCATATTTTATTCCTTTACACAAGGGGGAAACCCAAACCACTGTCTGAATCCAGAGCAAGGTCTAATCTTGCTATAGTTGAGACATTAAATCTGCAAATCAAATTGTTAATATCTCAGAAAATTAACTCACCTGCAACATACTAACAATCTCCACTTTATTGAAGAATATAAATGATGTTAGTGTGGATAGAAAGTTTTCCTCAAATACAGATGGGGTGGGCAAAATTATATCCTGGATATATTGCACCCGGTATGTTTGGTGAATTTTTTGCTTCAGTTCAGTGTCAGTGATAGGTATAACCTCTTTAAATTTGGCTGTTTTGGTCAAAAATTCTCTGTGTTTTCTGGGATGAGATAAGGAAGGATCATACTCCAAACACCCCACCACGTCCATAATGCACTCATCTGAAAACATCACCTCAAACAGTGCTGCTTTATTGAGGAACAAAATTCCTCTGATAATTTCATACAAGTGATGTAGACCTTCTGTGTTCTCCAGGTCCTCACAAACTTGAAAGAGCTGCAATAGTTTTTTAATATAGCCCTCATTTTCCAAAGCCAGTGCCAACTTCTCTCTGCGGATAGGAGAGGACAGGACCGAGGTTACCAAGTCGGCAATCTCTTCCAGTTTGTTTAGTTCACATGGTGGAAGATCAACTGTATGAGTAGTTTCAGGCATTTCTTCAAATCGCTCTTCTTCAGACTCATCAATGATGTCCTGAGTGATATCTAGTGACGGGTCTCGTCCCTGCACCTGTGAATGCCAATAAATGGGTCAGTTGAAATTTATTCTACTACTGTGACCTGCAAATTAAAATGTATTTAATATTTATCTACTGTTCATTGCAAACCTGTCAGAAAGAATGCTTAGAAACTATTAAGATCAAAGTGTGCAGGATTTTTATAGACTTAACATTAAGTTTCTTTTCAAAAGACAGTAAGCAATTTCTCAAAATGCAAATACAATAGATTATATACATTAATCTCAGATGCTTCATATTCTTAGACAACAGGCTTTTGTCACCTGGTGAGTTAATTTGAAATAACCAGTACACTGCCCATGGCCAGTTAGTAAATACAAGCAGTAACAGAATTAAGATACTTCAGAATTAGGGTTCACAAAAGCTGATTGGCTAGAGCACAGCACAGTATCAGTTAACATATGTTTAAAATGCCATCTTGTGGCAAACTGGTGACAAGAAACGTGACGAAGGTACAGGGCATCAACAGTATGAAAGGCTTTGCTTTTAAATAGCTTTGCACATTACTCAAATGACAAACTCAATCATATCTAATATCAGAAAGAGAGAACAGTAATAATAAGCCGTATGACTTTCCAACATATTTTACCATTAGACATATGGTTATCTTCTGCCCCAAAATCACTTTGGTCCCTATCACTTAGTATCAAAAAATCTGATCTCTATCTAGCAATCAGTCTAGTAAACTTTGGCAAATCTCTCTTTTGGTCAGTAAACCAAGTCTGTACACAGTGTTTTAGGTGTGGTCTTACCAAAGCCCTATATAATAGCCATTACAGACTTCCTTACTTTTAGATTTCAACAGAAATGGTTTGAAGTATAATACCATTTAGTTCCCTAACTGCTTGCTGTTTATGCATATTAACTTTGATTTATGCACAAAGAAACCAGGTCCATCTACATATATTTATTTTCCCTGCTAAAGTGGATAACTTCATGTTTTCCATGTTACAATCATCAGCGACATTCTTAAATATTCACTTGTGTAAATTACTTTGCAACCTCTGCACCCTCCTAAAGCTTTTTTTTGCACTTAAGTGAATCACCAAATTTGAATATTATACTTGGTCCTCAAAGTCAGTGACAACTGTAAACAGGTAAACTGTAAACACTAATTACAGTCTATGAATCAAAACATCATTTTTTCCAGTTTATGTCCATTAATCAATCCTCAATGCATGCTAACAGCCCAATTGAGTGTAAATCATTTATTGCACACTTCTCAAAAAAAAAGACTTGAAATGTTTACAGACCCATTTCACTCCTATACTCTGGGGAGCTTCAAAAGGCAGCAAACAGAAAATTACCATGTCAATGGATACATCTATTTTAAATGTTTCAAAATTCACCAGATGAACTCAACTACTTCTTCCTCAGTTATTAGCCTTTTTTTTTCATTATGACTGCAAAACTGTAAAAGTTGTTCTCTACCAGATTGCCAGTTTTGGGTAATATAACAGGTAAGCAGTCTAGCAGGTCTGAAGTTATGTAACACCTTAGCTGTGCAACAGTCTGGAAATATCCACGCAGGCTGTGCATAATTTGGCCTCTTCAAGTTATCATGCACTTGGTGCCATGCAAAAATTTAATGCGGCATGCATTCCTAAAAACAAGAGCAAACACCAATCCAAATCCCAAATATGAAAATTCCAAAATGGTAGATGCCAAAATTGCAACATGATAACTACCTACTTTTCTAGAGATTCTCAAGCTTGGGAGTCTCAGATTTTCATTCTGTATGTACCAATACAGGTAGTTCTCCTTTAATGCAATAGTGGAGTTCTTGCATAACCTCTCACGATAGAAAATCGCTATACTTGTACAGCGGAAAGTTTGCATTATCCAAACAGCATCCACACTTCAATTGTGTCACAGCCAATTCGTGTTAACGGAACATGCGTTATAGCAGAACTACCTGTAAATAACTGGGCACTGTATACAAAATTTACCAGCTATAATAGCACTGCTTCCCTTGAGTAAGTGATAGTATTTTGAAAATTAGAATTGGGGCAAGTGGAAGAAGAGAGGCAAAAGTGCTAGTATTGGCAGGGGATCCCAAACTGGTGAGATAGATAATCACAGCTTCAAAGTACGTAAAACAATGCTTGCAGTGCAATATTTGGATCAAATTTTCAGATACTTGGAGCATCCAGCATTTGTGTCACTAATAACAGTAGTCACAAACAGAAAGGTCTTTTAACATAAACCGATGCTTAACGAAGACAATATCGGTAAGTTAACAAGGCTGTAGTCTTGTTGCGTGTCACACGATTAAATTTAATTGTTTTCTAGGTGATTCAATTGCTGCATGTCTGTAGTGGCCTCTCCCCACACCTCAACACTTGCCTCACAGATTTGTGTTCCCTTTCAAGATCCAAGAACGATTCAAAGCTATAGAATTCCCAGCTGGGGCATTAATAATCCAGGCTTTTAAAACAAAAAAATTCGAAGTTGATCCTGCCTCACTAACAGCAAGGATTCAGGAGAAGTAGCAAGCAACAGCATTTGAAAAAGTGGACTCTTAAAGCTCCAGCTCAGCACTTCTACAGTTTTGGGATTCACAGCCCCTCAACATTGGAGCTTAGACTTTGGAACAGATACAAAAACGGAAAGGACAACAGTGAGAGTCATGGAGTGGAAAGTTTAGTAAGAACATGGGTTGGGGTAAGGAGGAGTGGTATGCAGCAACCAAGTGAATGAGGGAGGTTCAGGAAACAGGATCACCTAAAAGTCTATAGTAGTAAGAAGTTATATTTTTCTTTTATGCTTTCAAAATGTTTTTACAAGTATTTCATTTGCCAATATAGCTGTGAGAAATATTTCAACATGAGAGAGTATAATCTTTTAATACTTATTTTTTCTAATAAGTAAGAATCTACAGAATCTAGAGTTTTAACACTATTCCCACTTGATGTTGTAATTTTTTTTTAAGGAACACAATCACAACTGTAACTGAGAACTTATTGTATTGATAATTGTGTGGAACCGTCCTTCAATGCAAAGCACAGGAAATTCTGCCAAATAGGCTGCATAAGTCTTGTGTATACTAATTCACATTCTGCAGTCGAACTAGTAATTTGGTTAGTTGTGTCGCTAGTGATTCACAGTTATCTTTATGGTGTAAGTACTGCATTTGTATATGGTTTTATGGATGCTGACTTTATTTCAAAGTGTCCTCGAAATTACATCCATGAGGGTGGGAGTGGTCAAATAGAAAGGAAGCAAGTTCATTGTAAACACTTTTTTCACTCTGGATTTTTACTCTTTTTAAAGAGGATGGTAAATTTTAATTTTAAAAGGTGTACCACAATAGCTGACCATGCTAGCATATTCCAAGTCTGATAGTTAAATGCAATAACAGTAGCCTCAATAGGGATGCAGAGTGCATAAATGGTCTTAAAATTTGATTGGATTATAATTTGGAATACCCACAGTGAAGTAAACACTGAATCTATTTTGAAATCTATTGTTCTTTGAAGTTTGAGCATGGTAGGGGCCTCCTGTGAAGTGGTAATGTCCCTACCCCTGGACCAAGAGGCCTAGGTTCAAGTCCCACCTGCACTTGAGACACGTAATAACACCTCTGACCAGGTTGATTAGAAAAACAGAAAGGGACAAAAATGAAATCAAAACCGAAACCAAACCTTTTTTATGGACAAGTCTCAACCACCAAACAGGACTTCTCAATGCAACACACGCAGCAATTTGGGCTAATTGCTCAACGCGCACCCACAAATGTAAAACTCTTCTATGCAAAATTTTAACAGCCACAAGAAAGCATATTTTGTCCCAACTGGGAAAAAAATTAAACCTTTTGCCAAACATGCAACAATCCAAATCCAGAACAGTGTCAAACTGTCAATGAATTACAAAATCAGTGCAAAGATCCACAAAGTAATAGGTGAAGATACAGAATCATGTTTGAGAGGACAATTTAAAAAAAGGTTTTCCTTGAAAGTTTCCAACCTGCCTTAGCTAAAGTAGCACCTCAGGCAGGACTACATGGACAGATATCATTATAAGTGTGAGCTTGTGTGGATTGATGCACTTGTAAACTATTTCCAAACAAAGTAGTCTCTTGAATGTTTGTAAACAAGTTAAACTTGATTTCCGTAAACTGCACTTCTATTGATAAAATCCAGGACCCCATATCTATTAAACCACTTCCTGAACCAACCTTGCCATCAATAACTTATGCATGTACATCCTAAGGTTTTGCTACTTATGCAACCCATTTAGAACTGTGCCTTTTATTTTGTGTTGCCTCTCCCCATTCTTATTACCAAAATATATCACATTCCTCTGCATGTAATCACACGTGAAATGGGTCCACCCTGTCAATCACCCTGACTGCATCCAAATTTTGAAACTGTGTCTTGGAGATGCAGTCTATGGCATTAATATATAGACCATATTATATAGTAGTCTTAGTATCAATCCCTTGGTACTCTTTCCTCCAGTCCAAAATGCAATTGTTTACCACTACTGTCATTCGGGTAAATTGAAAGCCACGCTACCATTTTTTCTTTTATTCCATGGGTTTCAACATTTTTAAGTACTATTGTTGAGCTTAGATAAGCAACTGCATCATTCCTCATTATCTACAGCACTGCTTCAGATTATTTCAAGGTCAGACAATGCCACAGAAGACTTGTTTACTTCTTTGTGAAGACAACTTATAACAAAACTGCTGGACTTTCTTTTCCAATCAAACATTCAAACTTACTCATCTGCTTGAAGAACTATAAATTCCAAAAATAGATTCAGAGTTTACTTCACTGTTGTATTCAAATTATAATCTATTCAAATTTAAGACCATTTATGACAATCTGCATCCCTATTAAGACTATTATTGCATTTAGCTATCAGACTTACTATCACAGCCAGCTATTGTGGTATACCTTAAAATTAAAACTTAATGCCCTCTTAAAAAGAATAAAAAATTCAGTGTTTTAATATATGATCAATTTGCTTCCTTTTCTATTTCACCACTTCCACCCCCCTGAATGTAATTTCAAGGATACTTTCAAATAAAATCAGCACCCATAAAATCACATATAAATGCAGTGCTTTCATCATAAAGATAACTATAAATGACTAACCAAGCTGCCAAATTACTAGTTTGATTGCAGGAAGTGAATTAGTACACACAAGACTGATGCATGTATGCACAAGACTGACTACATGACAGAATTCTCAAAGGACCCCAGGAACAGTCTGATATACAAGTAGTTATGAAGATTGTGAAAACAAAATTGCAGATCAAAAAGTTTATAATAGGGATACAATTTACAATCCATCTGCTTAGAATGACACAGCAGGGTTAAGGGCTTATGGCTTATTCTATTTTTTATGGAAGGCATTGAAGAGGTCAGCATTGGTAACGATGAGTATGTACAATAGCAGACGAATCACAATTGGATTTTTGTAAAGTGTTCTGCACACCTTATCAAAAAGTCACTAAAGACAAATAAAGGAGGAGTTCTGACTGCTGCTTTACTACAATTACACTAAGGTGACAGCATACTGTCTAGATGAGAAACTTGAAAAAGAAGATTTATGTTCACTGGAGCAAAGGCTAAAGGGGAAAGAAATGTTCAAAATGAGCAAAGTGTTATTTCCACTGGTCAATGAATTACCAACGAGAGGACTGAAAATTCAGTAGCTATTCAGTAGAATTAATACCTTCCCAACCTTCACAAAAATGCATGCCTTAATAAGAACTGGTAAATGTGATTAAAGCAGATGACATGGGGATAACAATAACAGACAGGAGACAAGCCAACTAAACATTTTTTGAAAAAATAAAAAAGTTAGGAACATAACCAAGCACTTTGTTGATAAGTGCTGTGTACACTGAGGTTTCTATGCCAACATATAAACACAAGTGGACTGAGACCAAAACAATCTCCATCAATTGCGTGAAATAAATATGCAGCAAACAGAGAAGAAAATCCTTGCAAGAGTGTCTCATTACCAATATTAGTATAAAAAAGGATCTGAAATACCCAGCTTTAACAAACAACCAGCCATTAACAATTGAATTTGACTGAAAACAGTGAATTCAGATTAATCCTTTCTTTATTTTCAGTACGAGTTTTTTTTTAAAAAAAATGAGGACTCCACTGAAATACATTTTAAAACTGTCTTCTATATAAAATGAACAAAAACTGATGGCACAAGTGAGTTTGGTAGCATTTTGGAAGACTAACAATTATTTAAGATTAAATTTCAGCATTAATGTTTTTAGGTAAAGGATGCACATAAATTAAGCATTTGCAACTTTATAGCAAACAGCTCAACAATCTGATTATTACTGGTATACTCAGAGGGTAGGTTCAATATTCATGTTATGTTCCCCAATGGCACACGTAGTTCTCCTATAACGTGATAGTTGTGCTCCTGTGACCTCGTGCTATAGAAAATTGCATTATAGGGAAATTGCTATACCTATACAGTTGTAAGTTTGCCTTATCCAAACAGCATCCACTATTTATCGCGTTACAGTCAATTCGCATTAATGAAACACGTGTTATAGCAGAACGACCTGTAATGCAATCTGGCAATCCTGAACAAACTAGAACAAAATTGCTAGGTAGCATACTGTTTGACTGCATTTGTGACGCAAACGTATATTTCAAATAGCATATCTGAACGCGGTTATCTACAGAATTGTGCTGTGTAGTTGTGCTCCTCACTGGCTTTATAGATGGGCCATTGAATACAATAGCATTGATAATGAATCTGTGGAAAACAACAGATAGGCCATAACTGAAGTACAGCAATAAGTTTTGGACATTCTATTAGAGATAGGTTACTGAACTCATTGAAGAAGGTGCAACTAAAGTGATCCAGAGATAAAAAGGTTATCACCTAGATGATTAATTTGACAAGCCAGAGCTTCATTAGCTTGAACAGGAATTAAAAACCTGGAAGAAAACTGTTCATTTAAATCCATCAGGAGTGAAAAGGACAAAACTGCATAAAGCCGAAATTTTGTTAGCTCCTCCCCACCCCCAGTATAAATCCAATGCATCCATTTAATTGGAACAACCTATGAAAATTCAACCAACAATCTAATCATCAGGTTTTGCATAAACTGCAAAACATTCTCCACATTTTCACCATCCTGAAAAAAAGCATTGCAGAGCGAGGGGTGGGATTGTTAAATGGGTAGACTGAAAAAGACCAGGGAGTGGGGGGAGGAAAAATGATGACAGTGACAAAGTGGTAGAAAGAATTTACAGATGTGTGGAAAATTGGCTGGATCTATGTGACAAACAAGTAAACAAGTGACAGGAAGAGTAGATGGCAAGGAAGGTACTGAGCATCACAATGTCACTGTAAATCCCACATTAAGTGCAACCTTGTGGCCATTATTGGTTCCTCATCCACCACACTAACCACCACTTCCTACCTGAAAAATATTGAAGATGGCTGACAGAAAAACTAGAAAGTTTGCAACAGAAATAGTGATACCATATGCTCTACTTTATTGTAGCTAACAGCATAGAAGAAAAATGAGTATGTACGATTAAATATGTTCCAGTGCAGAACTCCAAAAGAACGTGCATTAATTTTTAGACAAATGGAATGCCAATGAAAATCAAAATTCAACTGTTCAGTTAACTCACTTAATCAATGCTGATTATGAATCACTGTCAAAACTGTGGTATTTATTAGTTTGACAGAATAAAATTTTAATTATCTGCGAAGTATCATACTCAACATGGAAGACTTACACTTATTAGTACTTTGTGCATCAACCATGGTCTCAAAGCAGTTAGCATTGCAAAGTAGGAATTGGTGCCATTCTCAAATTTTAAACAATGTCAATGTTTGATAAAAAATTAAACTGTCTTAGGATGTGGGTGCCATGGCAAGTGTGGACCTTGTTTTAAAAATCATGAGGGGCATGAATAGGGTGAATAGCCATGGTCTTTTTCCTCAGGACTGGGGAGTCCAAAACTAGAGGGTATATGTTTAACATGAGAGGTGAAAGATATAAGAGAAACCCAAGAGGCAAATTTTTCAGAGTGGGGTGCATGTATGAAATGTGGTGGAGGCTGGTACAATTACATTATTTAAAAGGCAACTGGATGGGTACATGAATAGGAAGGATTTAGAGGGATATGGGCCAAATGGGACCAGATTAATTTAGGATATCATCTCCATGGACTAATTGGACAGAAAGGATTGTACGGCATATGAAATCTATTTAAAATTGCTGTCCATATCAATCTGAACGTTAAAACACATTTAGCATTCTAAAAACTGTGGATATTGATTAGAAACATATTTGGTCACACAACAAATCTTCCATTAAAAAAGCAATTCTCCAATAATGCAGTTTTTGCAAATAATGTGAAAAACAAATGCGTTTCCCTATAAAATGAGAAACATTATGGAATTTAAAATATCCACCCAACATATACCATATCAGTCTGTTTTAAAGTTGCTTGCAAGCTTCTAATTTCTCAAACAAAGCACGAATTGAAGTGGCAGAACTCATGTCTCTTCAACCAGTTAATTTAGTGTATACAGTACCTGACAAATTTTCTCCCAGATTTCATCACATCCAGCTTTTTCTTGGAAACTGAGTGCCAAATCGTAATTGTCTGCTTCTGACCAAACAATCAGTGTATCCTGTTTTAGAATAAGATAGAAATCACAACTGATTCTTTATCTGCAAAGTACTTTAGATAATATTTCACAAATCAATTCAAAAGGCAGTGAGCAACCTGGCTACTACTGATTCTCCTTCACTATATCTTTAAATAATAAAGTAAACTAAACACACTTAGAACCTATAATCGTACAAATTAAAATGAGCAAAAACTCTAAATGACTCAATTGAGTCTGTATATTTGCACATGATTTTAAACTATAAAATGAATATTCCTTACTGTAGCTTCCGTTTATATCCTCTTACGCAAGAAAAAAAACTTTCCATTTTGTACAATATTTCAATTAACTTACTTGCTGTTTCTGGTACGCGGTATTCGGATTGATTTTCGATTCCAGTAGTAGCGAACCTAGGAGAACGAAACACAAAGAATGAGCATAAATTCCACCTGCCCTGCACACACTAGTCTCTACAGTAAATATTATTTAAATCTACACCTCCTCGCCCGAGCACGTCACATTGGCACAATTTCCTGGCCTCTCCACAATTACAACGTTTGGCTCATCTTTCACTCGGGGTCATTTGGAAACTCGCAATTACAGCGTCTCAAAACAACGCCTCGGAACATCACAAAAAAAATCAAGCGGAGGATTTTTTTTTGTCTCTTTCAAACCAGCCAGTAGTTTATTCTATAAAAGGGTATGTAATTGCATTTACAGAGACGATCCGGCCCGAAGCTGTTCTCCTCTTTCTTACCGTCGGACTCGGCCCGGACCAACAAGGACATTCCATTCAGGCGATCGACATAGGTCGAAGACACATGCCCCGTGCCCCGGTCGTCCCATTGTCGGTCCTCGTTCAGCGTGTACACTTTCACCCTCCTCCGCGTATCCGACATCTTTTACCTCCCTCTGCTTCTTTATCTCTCCTGGGCCTTTTTTTTGTCTGAGGGCCACGGCCGTCGTTCTCAGTCTCTCGCTTCTTTTCTTTTTCTACGCCGTCACCGCCGTGATTTTACAACGGTAAAAAACGCGAGTAAAGAGTCGTGCGGCATGTTATTAAAAATAAATAAAGGACCGCCACGGAGAAGGAAGGAAGAAAAAGCACATTAAATACTAGTGGTTAATGTTCGATGGGTAGGCCAGGCCCGCCTGCCTTCCTTTTCCCCCTCAAACGACTGCCCTCACCACAGAACAACATCCGCCATCTTGTAACCCGATCCCGGCGATTCAATCGTCGTACGGGGTTCCACAGTCTCCAGCGCAGGGCCACAGCGTCGCCACGCAAAATCACTGACGTCACCAGCACTTAAAGAGATAGCCGGCTGTTTCTCACTTACCTTCTTAAAGGGGCCAAACCTATTACACTCCCAGGGAACTTCACTGGCACTTTCCAGTCGTCTCGGGAATCGGTGGTTTTTGGGTTGCTCATACACTGCCTGGAAACATTCCAAATCTCTCAGTTCACGGCGACAATCTTCAAGTGATGTTTGGGGCAGCACAGTGGTTAACACTTCTGCCTCACAGCACAAGGGACCTGGGTTTGATTCCATCTCGGGTGACTGTCTGTGTAGAGTTTGCATGGGTTTCCTCCAGGTGCTCCAGTTTCCTCTGACAGTCCGAAAATTTGTTTTTTTCATTCAAGGAATGAGGGCATCACTGGCTACATCAACATTTGTTGGCCATCCCCAATTGCTCAGAGGGCAGTTAAGAGTCAACCACAGGACGGTCCATTTTCCTTCCCTAAAGGGCATTAGTGAACCAGATGGGTTTTTCCAACTATTGACAATGGTTTCACTGTCATCATTTCTGCACTTCAGGCTGCACCAGCAACTATAATCATAATGCTGCTACAAGGAAACTTTACCCTCAGGTACATACATCCAAGCCCTAGACTGAACCATACTACATCTCTCGGCTCTTCATGTACTGTCATATCACTCTGAGCAGACCTAGATGCTTGCAGAATCCCTGCCTTGCCTTGCCTTTTTGCACAATGCCCTTTCAGCCAGATATATTGCTGCTGTCTTGCCATGCTATCTTGTGCAGGCACAAAGCCAGGAAACCAGTCATGGTTGTCAGCAGGTCTCAGTCCAGTCAACAGGGAAAACCTACGTTCAGGGGACCTCAGCACAATAAGTCAAGGGCAGCATCTGATACCAGTTCAGGCCCTGTATGGGTAGTCAGGATTAGGATCTTTTGCTCACAATGGGTGGGAGCTGATTAACAGGCAGAACACCATTTGTGCTGGCCTGCTATTTAGGGCAGTTTTCTATATGAAATGAGAGAGAAGCAGCATATTGGAAGATGAAAATGGATAGCACAGCAGATGCAGGTGGGAGGTTTTCTGAACGAATGAGTCGGCAGTGCATAGGGCATGCAGGATTGGTGGATGTCAGAAGTTGGGATAGGTGGGGATGACTGGTGAAGATATTGAACGTAGTGGTGAGAATGATAGAACATGAGCCTTGGTGGGAGGTGGGTGTAGTAGCAGAGATAGAGTGAGTGTGAGGTAGCAGAGAGAAGACAAAGGTAGTTGGAATGAAGGAGGAGATTGACCTTCTTCCCATAGAGTTTGGGATTTCTCCAGATGGTTGAGACTGCACTAACCCACGTGGCAAACCCAGACCAGGCTGGCGTGTTGTGGTTTTGTGGCCTCTACTGCTGGGTCCTGGGTGAAAGAGAAAGTCTTGCCTCTGCATCATCCCGTCCAGCATGATCTCCAGGACCATGGCCGTAAAGTGGGGTGCTTAGTTCCCCTTGTCTGCCTTCTCTGCCTTGGCCTGGGTAAATGTCAGGAACTGAACAGGGCAGCTCCATACTGACAGTGCCTTGTCCAGGTGCACAATGGCCTTTTAAATATGGCAACAGTGGCAAGGATTCTGGTCAATTCTGGAATCACCTGGTGAGTTACACCAGGGACGGCACATGGCAGAAATCAGATGTGAAACTCACCACTAGGACTGAAACACTAATTAATGCAATGACTTTGGTGATATATGGTAGATAACTCAATCAGCCCCATGGTGAGAATCACTCCATCAAACTCAACATGAGTCACACGTAACCAAAGAACTGTAAGATACAGCTCAAGGAACATTTTGGAAGATTACAATCAATTTTCAGTTGCTTCTTTTAAGACACTAGCATGTAGGCCTTCAGGTTGATGGGAGCTGTCTGTCTGTTTTCCCATCCTGAGGGATGGGGGTGTTGGGACTGGCAACAGTGTGGGAAAATGTGGTCAGGTCATTGTCCAGGATTGGGAGGAGATAATAAGTCTCTAGGAGGTGTAGTTGGGAGAAGGTGATGTGGCAAATTGAAGGGTAAGTTTAATAGTTAGTTATAGGAGTTACACAAGGTCTTAACAGCAAACATTTCCATTTGAGGGTTTCAGGTGCTGGGTTTTTGCCTTCCCATCAGAATCTTCGATTTTCCAGATGTTTCCCTTGTCTGCTACATCAGGGTCCGATTGTTCAACTCCATCATGTTGCAGCAATGACAAAAAGGCCATTGGAAAAATCCAGGCCATCTCTCCACCAAACAGGAGACAATGGCCTAGTGGTATTATCACTAGATTATTAATCCAGAGACCCAGGCAAAGTTCTGGTGATCTAGGTTCAAATCCACTATGGCAAATTATAGAATTTGAATGCAATAAAAATTTTGATTTAAGAGTCTAATGATGATCATGAATCCATTGTTGATTGTCAGAAAATCCCATTGGGTTCACTACTGTCCTTTAGGGAAGGAAACTGTTGACCTTGCCTGGTCTGGCCTACACGTGGCCCCAAACCCACAGCAACGTGGTTCACTTTTAATTGCCCTCTGAGCAGTTAGGGATTGGCAATAAATGCTGGCCTAGTCAGTGACACATCCTGTGAATGAATAAAAACAGTCTAATATAACTCCACCCCAACCTTAAGTTTACCTGGACCATCTCTAACACCTCTCTCCCCTTC